GTTCACACTCCCTCAGTCTGTACGACAGTCTGGATCACAATCTTTTGAACGTGTTCTCTTCTGTCCCCTGTGCCACAGGATGAGTTCCCGGCTGCAGACGAGTTCCCAGTGGTTAATGAATTCCCATCAGTGTTGAAGTGGAGAAGAAAACCCTCGGTGGTGTCTGTGTCCTCCTCTCTTCCTGACCTCCTGGGGACCTCGACCGGCAGCCTGAGCCCCACAGACGCACCCTTCAAATCAGAGCAGCTGCTGGAAGGTGATAAAAAAAAAAAAGTTTAATCAATTACATCGTTGTGTTCTTGTATGGAGGGCCACACTTTCAGTTTCATATTAAAACTGATCGTCCTGACTTCACAGATTGTTGAGTTAATGATGTTGGCCTGGCTTATGAGTGTCTTTTAATAGAATTATTGAAGATTAAATAATTAAATGTAAGTGAGTTCTCACCACAGCTATCTTTTCATAAACATCAAAAGTACACATTCAAATTCTGTTCACACTGTGGTCAGATCTGTGGCACTCTGATAACACAGATGTTACAGAAAACCTCTCTGTGAAATATTATAACTTTAATTAGTAGTTATTGTTCATTCTTTCAGTATTAAACTCTATGGATATCAGCGTGCTGAAGGTATTTATCATGTTAAAGCAGAATTTATCCCTACGGGAGTTTTTGTTTTTGTCCACCAAAATGTGAATAAGTGAGTTTATTCTGAGTTAGGTTGTCAACATTTCAAAGCTTTGATGCTTTTAAATATCACAGGTTGTAAAACGGTACAATCTCCATGATGTTAGTGATCGATAGTAACACAAACAGTAATGCATGACGTTGTTTTAGTACAGACTGTTTGTGCAGTGCAGACAGTGTGCATTTGTTGGTAATTTAAACAATAAATGATACAAATAGGGTGCTAAATACCTTAATTTGTGTTTCTGTGATTTCCTAACAGGTATCAGTATCGTTTTATTTTTCCTCATCATCAAATCTAAGTTTAATTTCTGGCACAGAGACAACCCAAATTCTGAGTGTAACATCATAAAGTATCTTAATACTGTGTTAAAAGTCAAAGACAAATAATCAACAACAACATAGTAGATAAACATACTCAACATAAATACTCTTCTATTGTTTATTTAAAGTACTAAAAATATACAACTGAGAGGGCACTGGTGGCACAGTGGTTAGTGGGCACGCCCCATGAATGGAGGCCATGCACCTCCAGGCAGGTGACCCGGGTTCGAATCCAACCTGTGGCTCCTTTCCCGCATGTCATTCCCCACTCTCTCTCACTCTGATTTCCAACTCTTTCCACTGTCCTATCTCTCCAATAAAGGCATTAAAATGGACAGTATATACATTTTATATACAACTGAGGTTGCAATTATACATTTTCACTTTAGAGAAGGAAAACACATCGATAGGTAATGAATTATAAAAACCGACAATCATTTTCACCTCTTGTTAGAGTTTAAGTTTAACTGGAGCATTGTAAGAAAATATTCATGCCAGTACACAGTGCAGTTACACAGTTACATTATTCAATAAATGTTCAGATGAATGGAAGTCAGCGTTCAGTCGTCTCACTGTGTGCAGAGAAATAAAAGTCATACTGAGTTCAATCAAATTAAAAGATGATAATCCAGCATGAGTTTTATTGGTAAGAGGAAACAGATTGCAGTTTGACCTCCATGAAAGATGGAGTCAGTGAGCCGAGGCAACAATCTGAGTCACATCTTGTTCCAGAGTTCATTCAGTTTAATTTCAAGATTTCATGTTTATAACGGGAGGGACAGGTATTATATGTATAGATAACGTTAAATTGGATGCATTCGTATAGGTGTTTTTAGGTTTTCATTTCATGAAGACCGTGTGTGTGTGTGTGTGTGTGTGTGTGTGTGAGAGAGAGAGAGAGAGAGAGTAATTGCTTTTGGACAGCAACATTTCTCTTATGCAACGACACATTAAGCTCCAAATGGAGATTAAACCATGCGGGGGCTTGTATTAAAACGCTTTGGGCGGATGCAGATTAAGTCGAGATTATCACCAAACAATGTCTGCTGTCAGAGTTGTCTGAGGACACTTATATATTGACAGATCTTCGCTAAATATTATCCCACATTAATGTTGGGTGTTTGATCAGCAGGAGCTTCTGTGTACTTAATCAGCACAGCTCACAGGTGGAGGGGAGAGCTGGGATGTAAAGTCATTAAAAGATGTATGTGGATTTAATAGTATGACCTGAGGCATCACCTGTGCTATAGGAGCTTTATATTACACACACACACACACACACACACACACACACACACACACACACACACACACACACACACACACACACACACACACACACACACAATGAACGTGTACACACAGGAAATTAATGTTTTAATTAGTCTAACTGAACATAAATGACACATGAATGATGCAGCCACTCGAGCAAAAGCATCCAGACAGGAAAAAAAGAAAACTAAAATTTGCTTAGAAGATGGCCTATCGGTTTGGTAGCGTCCCATGTACACAGGTAAAAGCTCTCCAATCAGGCGGCCCAGGTTCAAGTCTGACCTGTCCTCAATATGAATGTACACATACCTGATGACAGCAGAACTTAATTGTGGCACTTTTGCGGAAAAAAAAGCCGTCTTAAAAGGGCTTTAGATTGAAGGCAAAACGTCACAGGGACGTGTATAACACTTGTAATGGCCATCTGAATCGCGCTGAATTAAAACTCATTCCTCTTACGAAGCTGCACATGTAACCATCTATACAAGAAACAAGAACTACCATTGACACACACACACACAAACACACACACTGGCACACACACTGAAATGGACATACAGTCATTAAGCATAAACCTGTGAGAAAAGGTGGCTTTTATGTTTGCTGTTAAAATATGATTTAAAAGCAAACACAGCACAATCAAACTCTGTGTGCAGCCAGAAGACCTCCACCTGATGACCTGAGAGGCCTGATGGGTTTATAATGGAGTCAAGTCCTGTTGATGGTTTTATGTTAAAGTGTGTGCGTGTGTGTGTGTGTGTGTGTGTCTGTTACAGAGCGATCTCTGCAGACAGACAGAGGTCTTTTATCAGAGCCGGTGACAGAGCTGGGCCAGATGGAGTACCAGCTGCTCAAGTTCTTCACCCTGCTGTGAGTATAAAGAGGGACACACACACACACACACACACACACACACACACACACCAACAACACCACCTTCACCTCGGCCAACAGCTGACTCACGCCTGTACGCTCACTGCGAGCGCCGTCATGGAGATATAAATAGTGTGCCATTTAACGAGTCAAACTGAACACAGGGGGCCAGAGGTGTTAAAACACTTTTTAGTTTGTAGTTTTCCTCACTGGAGTTTCCATCGGACCAAATTTAACTATAAAAAGTTACATTGCAAAGAACTGAATAAACTGTAAGTGACACGCTGTTCTTTATCAGCCTGCAAAGAAAGGCCGCACAGTCACCGCTGGGACTGTCCTTCACCCAGAGAGCATGAGGCCTCATTTGTACTGTAGTGTCCCTGAGAGAGCAATAAATCCCTATCTGCTCCTGTATGTTTGTCTTATTGCAGACTGTGACCCCGCCCCTTCAAGGAAAAGAGAGAAAACTCATTTGATTTTTAGAAATTACAGATTAGATTAATTCCATTTATCACTTTCATCATCTACGATAACTCAACTTTATTTATATAACAATTTACACTCAACACCGTTAATCCAAAGTGCTGAGCAGAGCAGTTAGAAAAAAACAAAGCATAACAACAACAATCAAAATGAAAGAAGAGGAAACAATTATGAACAGTGTAACAGACAACGTACAGAGACATGGATCCCTGAGCTCGATTATTGAAAATTGAAGGCAATTGCTTAGAAATATGTTTTCAGGTGAGTCTTAAAAACACTAATGGTGGGTGAGAGGAGGATGTTGGGAGGTATAGAGTTCCACAATTTTGGTCCAGCAATAGAAAAGGCTGATCCCCATAACACCTTGTCCTGGATCTAGGCATGGACAGAGGGTTTTGGTCTGATGACCTTAGATCTCTTACTGGCTGATATGGGGACAGGAGTTCTGAAAGGTAAGCGGAGTAAGTCCATTTAACGCCTTGAACACAGTCAACAGTATTTTAAATAAATTCTCTACTTGACAGGTAACCAGTGTAAGGAGGCAAGTGATTAGAGTGATGTAATCACAAAGACTCTGTACATGTACAGTATCTGTATGTAATAAAGCCAAACATTTATACGAAGTAACTCTTAGGGAAATTAAAGATACACTCTGAGAACTTGGACTCAAGTTGTTACTACAACATTTTTTTTTAACATTCATACAAACCTTGTAAAATAAATCAAATATAGATTTAAATATTCAAATATAATATAAATATTCCTGTTTTGATACAAAGGCAACAAAAACAGAACTCCTTCACACCGACCAAAAAATGCAGACAAAACTCCTGAACGCTGTCTTTATTGCACAATTTGGTTGCTAATGTATTTGTCAGTGAGTCTGATCCATACATTTGTATTGTTTGTGAGTGAATTAAGATCTGTATCCAGTTAAAATAGTAAAAGTATCTTCTTTGACCCATGCTTCCCACTTCCTCCAGGTTGAACAAAAAGAAGTCATGTTGAGTTGCAAATACTAAACTCCACACTTAAATGATATTAAAAATGATAATCATAAATACAAAGAATTGAAGACTTGATCTTACAACATATACAACTTTCATTCTATTTATTTTGAACTGTACAGAAATGCTACAGCGGCTGATTTGAGAGCACAAATAACGTATTCAAAAACTTTAAAACAATACAGTATGTCATCATGTGCAGTATGTTAAGTATTCAGCAGCAGGCAAAGAAAGTGTGACATGATTTACTGTCGTTGTAAACTTGAAAAAGAAAACTGGTGTGGTCCTTTAACAGATTTGAGCTGGCTTCTACCATAGACTGTAAATATTACAGTGTTGTGTCAAGGTTTGTAGACAGAAGGTCAACATCGCCTCCCGGTGTTAAAGAAGGGGAATTACAATGTCTTCATCCACATCAGCAGACAGTTCAAGTGTGCCTAAACTTCAATTTAAGGTTTTCATGAATGTATCTAATCTGAATTTCCCTCCTCTTTTTGTCAGTATTATTCTCCTCATCCTGTCATCGTGCTACCTGGCCTTTCGCGTGTGCAGTCTGGAGCAGCAGCTGTCCTTCCTCAGTAACCCAACTCTGCCCCTTAGAGAGAGGTAACATCGATGCTACAGCTGCATCACCAACACATAATCATATCAAACAGATTCCTCTTATTTTTTATTAGAAAGAAATAATAATGCAAAAACACATTAATAAACTGAAAAAAGTAAAGGAAGTAAAAACTATATCAAAGTAAGATTTATGCATAGGAGACAAGTTAGACCTCTATATTAGTTTGTTCCAAGAATATTTGTGTGTATGTCTGTGTTTATTTGATTCTTTTAATATATTTTAGGGTATTTTAATTGCATGTAAAATATTGTTTAATCAAAAAGGAATACAAGCATCTGATGTACCCTATGTAGGGTTTCTAAACAAAGCTAGTTTGCTGGTTTTTTAGACGAGTACAAAATAGAAGATCTGTGTTCACAAAGAGCGATATTCTGTTGGATAAAAAATGCACAGTGTCAGTGAATTTCAGATGATGTGATTTGGAATCATTGTAACAGTGGAAAATATGTAAAAAGATGTTTTATACCTTTTAATATTCTGAGTCCACCATCCTGGCTGCTTCCTTCTCGTCCAGGTAACCACTGCTCTCCGCTGTGATTGGCTGCTGTTTCCTCTCCTCCTGCTTCAAAATGATGACGTTCTTCTGCGACAGATCCAAGATCGGCTTTCAAGTCCGGAGAAGATCAACCCCCCCAAACTAGCACTTCACAAAGGTGCAACATCAGCCCGAGTTCAGACTTCTAAAAGGACCTCCTCCTCCTCGCAGGACGAGCTCCTATGTAGTGATCACTTCCAGCCTATGCAAACAGACGGTGTATTTAAAGTAGGTTTTACTGTAGATAATGATTGTCCACCATGACCCCTTTACTCCCACGTGACACTGAAATGTAAAGCTCCTCAACACTGAAATAATGAGCGGATCACAGTTGCTGTTTGTGGCACTGGTGGGTCGCTGTCAGAGGATGTAGAGATAAAAGAGATAATTCAAAACATGAATAACTTGAAAACACTGACTGTAAGAGATATTTCAGGTGAGTGTTTACGACTTACTCTGTGCTATCTTTCATATTCTGTTAGACAAGTGGACTAAACCAGATGTTTGGGGAGGCTTTTTCTTCTGGTGAGATCTTTCCATTGACCTCTGTAGGAAGGCTAAAAGGAGCTACTACAATGCACTTTCTAAACTATGTCAACATTATTTCAAAAATATGCAAGTATTTTAAAAGTCTTGATCTGTATGTGCTTGATGAGCGGTGGTACTCAGATGTCATTTCTGCTGGTATTTATGGAAGGATGTGATTGTAAACCTGACTGAATGACGAAACCGTCCATTTAACTTTTAAATACTGGAGCTGTAACACTGCTCGGTGATGTTCGATATAATGTGAAGGAGGTGGCTAACTGGTGAAATGTATAATTTATAGTTTCTAGTTGTTCTAATCTTCAGTGTGAAAGGAATACCCAGTGTGGTTTGTTTTTCTTTTATACCTTTGAGATGAAGTCACCAAAGACTTAAACATGTCACGTTGAGGTTTTTGAGTGTTTATGTTAATGTATCTTAATGTTAAGATATTTTATTGATTTTGCATACATGAGGAAAATGTAGTCCTATACTTGTTTGTGAAATCCCTATGAATTAAATCGGCAAAACAATGTAGATTTAAAAAAAAAATGTTTTTGGGGCTTTTTTCTGTCATTTCAGGTACTTTCCTATCCAAAGTTTCCCCCTCTCCTGTCCTATTGGCTCTGCACTCAGGACCACCATGAAAAGCCTTGACTCCAACAGCACAGCAAATTTGAGTAACATCCACCACTCAGCCTAAATTCTAAAACAGTAACAAGATGTTGGCCGAAGCATTTAATGCTTAACAAACTACATATGGAGCCCTGGCTGTGCACCAGCAAACATTCTTCCACATGATTCAATTTGAATGTTACAGCTTGTCACTTTTTTTGGGTTATAAAAAATGTATTTTCTAAAATGTCAACTGTTTCGAAGCTACAAAAACCAACCTTGGCTTTAGTCTCGGAAAACCAATAAATATTAGACATCTGATGGGTTTCAAACAGGCTGCATGACCTCGATGAGCTGGAGCGTTTTCTAAACCCACACAGAAACTAGGAGTACCTTGAAGCGACCACAGTAGAACAATAGAGCGTCAGTTTTACAACACTGATAGTTTTTTACTTTTCTTGTTTTGTGTCAGAGGTATGCTATTTATGTTTACAAAACAAAGTGGATCTCATTTTTTGGATCTGTTTCTTTTCATCTCAAAAGGACATCTGGGGGTGTCAGAAGCCTAGTGGTTAAGGAGCGCAACCCATGTACAGAGGCTGTAGTCCTCCAAGTGAGCGTCCCAGGTTCGAATCCAACCTGTGGCTCCTTTCCCGCATGTCTTTCCCTACTCTCTCTCTCTCACTCTCTCTAAAAACGTACAAAGCCCAAAAATAAACCTTTAAAAATAAAAGGACGTCTGCTGTCCAGATTAGCTCCATGATGAAAAATAGTTTGGTTCAAACTACAGCGTACTGCAGTCAGAAAACGTAAAGTTCCACAAGCGAATAATAAAAGAAAGAGCTGGAACAATTCTTAACCACTCTACAAATTGCGTTCCTAGTTTACTTACCTGTAACTAGCTACAGACGTATACAGGATATACCTTGTTGCAGAGTGACGGTATGAATAACATTTAGGTCATTGGCTCGTGTCGTTGTCTGCTAAAAAAAAAAACTGTAATTTATTATTTCTCAAACTTGAAAGTAGAATACTTGATGTTGATAAACAAACACTACAACTCTGTTAATGTGTCACGTTAAAGTTTTTTAGTTAATTGTATTATTTCAAGCAAGGTAAAAAAATACACTGACATCTAGTTAACTCACAGAAAATAGTACGGTACACTCACACTTAACCTGCATTCCTCTAACTGTATCTGAAATAATCTTTATAGCAATACAAGCATGGATTTAAAAGTATGGATTTTTAAATGTGCCTCAAAGTTATGCACCGATGAAGTTTAACTAAGATCTTAAGTTAAACTACAAAATGATATTAATAATGTTGATGATAACATGACAATATTCTTGTCTATTTTATTATTTTCATTCTTATTTTATGAAATGTTTTTCTACAACGGAGGATTAGGGCCACGTAAAAAAAAAAATAATAATTACATTTTGAGATTAAAGTCGTAAATTTACAAATTTAATCTAATAAATTAACGAGTTCGAGACCAGACTGCGCGAAAATGATGAAAGTAGAACTCTTAAAGTATTTAAAGACTAAAAGAATAAAGTTGTTATTTTAGTCTATATCAGAAGAGCAGCAGCATCCTGTTCTCAAATGACAAACATGGAGCATCTTGTCCTAAAGGTTTCACTAATAAGGAAATAGGCTACTTCCTTGTGTAGTCGGAAAAACAGTTAGTTCAAGAAAAGTTTTCACTTCAACTTGCAAGACCTTGTTTATCTGTAAAATGATGAACAGGACACAAACTGGCTCTGCACATGAGACACTTTAACAAGGCAGACCGATAACAGACACAAATAGTTGTGTTGGGGCTTTACTTATGCAGATATGAAACTACACATGCTTTTGGTACATCATCATCTTCACATTGTCATAAAATATCAGCAGCACCCTGAAAAGATACTGCAAGAAACGGTGGCTTTTCAGAAGAAACAACCACACTGACTTGGAGGAAGTTATCTGCAGAGGAAAATACTTCAAGAGTTCTACTTTTCATCATTTTGCGCAGGCTGGTCTCGAACTCGTAAATTTACAAGATTATTCTTGTAAATTTACGACTTTAATCTCGAAATTAAAATTTTTTTAAAAATTATGTGGCCCTTAAATCTGTTTTCAAAGGACGACCTGAGCATGACACCAGGTATGGTTTTATATAAAGATAAAAAACAATAGGTGTAGACAGAGACGCTATGCTCAGGAGGAAAAGACTACATCCACTCAAACAAATAAGACAGTTGCATTTCTCAAATTTTATATATTTTTTTTAATTTAACCTAACCTTATTTTACCAGGCAGAATTGCTTGAGATCAAATGACCCCTTTTTCAAGCAAGGCCTGGCCAAATGCATTGACTTTTAATAGTAAAATTGTTATTCATTTTCGGCGCCTGTGTCCTAGTGGTTAGATCACTTGCCACATTTACAGAGGCTAAAGGTTTGAATCTGACCTGTGGCTCCTTCTCGCATGTTATTCCCCACTCTCTCTCTCTCTGTCTCGCTCTCTCTCTCTGATTTCTGACTCTATCCACTGCCCTGTCTCTCTAATCAAGTCATAAAATGACACATTATTAATTTCATCACATAAGGCAAGTTTATTAACATATCACATTTCTGCAACAAGGCAATTCAAATGAGATAGTATTTGGGACTAATGCAACATGAAAAACGTGTTTGACACTTCAAAGTCTTGAGCAACTGGACACTATGGCAACCTAAATGATTGACAGGGGGCATGGTTCCCTCAGTGAATAGAGAGGGTTGGTGCAGAGAGGAAGACACCTGGTTCAGAGGGTCAAGACTGGCTGTCCGAGGAATATGTCAGGAATCCAGCAACCGATCTTCAACAAACCTGCTGAAGACTAAACCCTGAACAGACCAGAGGAGTTAGATTTGAAATATCTTCATGTTGGATTGTATCTTTCCCTGTTTAGTGTCTTTAAAATAATGTGTATGTGTATAGCTCAGGCACCTACTAATTTGTCCTTTGTGTGCTTAAGAAGCTGAAAGGGCAGGGGCCAAGTACTGTAACATTGTGTGAGTGAGGAGCCAGTCGTAGCGGCAGAGTACCGGGGGCAGGTCGAAGCAGATGGCCAGACAAGCTGCGGCCTCCTCCATACCTCCAGGGAGCCATATTGTCTATGCTGGAATGCGTTCGAGTTGACCTTTGACGTCTGCGGTGTGAAGGAGAATGCTGACTGTAACTTCAGGGTAATGGTTTGTATTACACACACTAAAATCATCACATAAAGGCTGCGTTACTGGAGGTTCTCCACAAACACGTTACCTCAGCGGTGCATTAAATGTGTCCACGTCTGCAAGAATACGGTCCAAGTGCATTACAGCTAATCAGTTTATGAAGTGCGAGGTGCTGTGTTTCACTTCAATACGCTGCACATGTTTCTTCATACCCGAGGGGATTTTGAAACCAAATATTCAGACGGAACAAATGTACAAGTGCCATGCGTGAATATTCCACATGGAGGCATAAAATAATCACATTACTTTTTATAGCAAGTAAAAAGACACATACTGTAAGTACATATTTTTTAAAAAAGTTTAAAGAAAAACTGAAGGCACATGATACAATGAAATACAACTGAGATGGAAGAAAATGTCATTTCTTTGTTGTTCCATAACATTGTCTGAGTTAAGAATGATCTGAAACTGAGTTTAATGAGCATATTTGATTGAACAGTGCACGTGTTTTAGCGACTCTTTGTTCATCTGCAGTTCTGCTTTACATCAAAAATCGATGCTCACTCTGAAAAATGACTCAATAGGGACTTTGCTTTCTTGGTAAAACTTTCAACAAAAATTCAAAAACATTTGAGTTTGATTGACTGAAAATATAGTCAGCTATCTCTAAGTTTAAACCGTTAAATGTTCACTTATCTTCTGCCAGCGGACCTCAAAGGACCAGCTTGCAAAAGCAGCCACATGTCAAACAGTGTTTTGATTAACGGAGGTTTGGCTGTGACCACAGACACGCCCCAGTTTTCACAAACAAGTTGGATAGCTTGACTGTATTTTTACACTCATGTGCCCACCATTGAATGAGAGAAACGAGTTCACACCCATTCTCTGGAGAGCTGTTGAAAGTCACACTGGGGAGAAAAAGGAAACCAGTCACATTATCAGAACAATGTATTAGAACATTACAGCACAAAATAACTTCTTGAATCGACCAAACATTTGATTGAAAGGCTTTGAGAGTATTCGCATGGGACAATTTGAAGAATCTTTGTTTGTGGAAGTTTCCCAAAACTATTCATGGTTTTATAGGTTGAACTGTAGTTGGCTCGATATGATGGCCCTTTGTTCTCCTTCCACTGTCATCTGTTTTCCTGTCTATTCCTCTCTGTCTTTCTCTTTGTTAGCATCTGCTATCCAGCACCTCTTTGGATTGCTTTAGCTATCAAGCTAGCTCATCGTTGACAGATTTGCATTTCGACTTAGGCTGACTATTGAAAAAAATGTGAAGAAACTGACAAAGAATGTTTTCCTGTTTGTGGTCTTCAACGGTAAGTCTACTTGGTTGCATTTGTTGGATAGTAAAAATGACTCAAAGCGATACTTATTGAAATTTGAGGGATAAATTATGTTTTTCTTCTTGTTGTTTAAACTAGGTAGCAAAATCGTCCTTGCAAGCATCTAAATTAGAAATTACAAACACGTTTTCGAGATGTTTCTTCCAGTGTTTATACCAAGCTTTATGTTTTAAATGTGGGCTACAGACTAACATTTAGCCTACCACACAATGTAGAGGTGGTTTCAGCTATCTAATCGAATAGTTAGAAATGAAAGCTTTAAAATATCTGCCAGGTTTTTATATTCACTGTCGATTCAGCTATGCCTTTATTTTTTTTTACAAGATTACAACAGACTTTAAATAGGTTACCTGGTCACTAATCAACATCTCATTATCATCATTATCTTTATTGACTTACTCAGGAGTCCATTAAACTGTTGATTCAAGTCAGAATTACCTGAGAGGATTTTACATTATGAATGCTTTCGATTATGAAGGTAGAGTCAGAAGTTTATCTCTGTTGTGTCTGTATTTGTTGCAATTTCCTGATTTTATGTTGCCTGTTTAAAAACATGGGCTTCTACAAGTTTATTACCAACTTACACAGCCTGTCACCTGACGTTGTTTCTGCCTCTCTAGATCCTTGTTTGTGTTGTACTTACTCTCTGGAGTTTGTGTCTGCTAAAGAATTGTACAACTTATACAATTTGGTAAATAGAAAATAAATAAACATGAAGTTAATGCTTTTCTGGCATTAAAACAGGACCAAAAAGGTGTAGCCTGAAGCCTTTCGTTCATTCAACATTTTGTCAGCTCCCTTTAAATTCATACAAAACAGTAAAAAGTAACAGAAACTAAGTATATTTGCATTTTATTGGCCTTATATCCAAAATCTGAAAAGAAAAAAAAAAAACACATTACATGTACACTGTTCGTACTTCAGTTTTATATATGATAAGAATATTGTGTTTAAATCATTTTAAAAATCTGTTATGTGTATTACACTCTCTGTTTTCCGTGACGACTGACATACATCACAAAGTCAGTTTAAAAACCTGATCCATGTGTGAGAAGGAGCCTGGCTGCCACTGGTGCAATAGCGCAGAGAATACAGATACTGATCTTTCCATTCCTGATGGGACATTGTGATATGAACTTGACCTACTTATCCACCTCAGCAGCTTCAGATCACAGTGCGGTGCACCACCTGGAAACAGCTACGGTCCAGGATGTTACTTTGTCTTTTTTGGCCTCTCAATGGAGATGTTGTTTGTTTTAATCCAACTGATTCTCCCACATGCTGCTGTACATGAAGCTGACACAGATCCAAGTGGTTGTAGTTGGTTGCAGATGTGTGAAGACAGGACATGATGTCATGTAGAAGAGGTCAGAGACAGTTCTCAGTTAACAATATGGAAACTGTATGGTTTATGTGGAAGTGTATGTGTGCATTTGTTTGACTATGTACCTACAACAGGCCTGAGGGGCTCACTCTGATGAGTAAATGTGAACCACCTGGACACCCTGGAGGAGTAACCTTGGCAGCTGCTCCTGAAATCAGGAAATTAGGCAAAACACTGGAGAAGAAAAAGTGAGTTCACTAATGAAGCTGTCTGTTCGTGTATGTTTATGTGTATTATTACAGGAAGGAGCCTGGACATAGATTAAAACACAAGACTTCTGTAGTAGGTTTTCTGTTTTAGAGTCTATCAACGTTTCTTGCCGAGTACATTAGCTGTTTGATACATTGATAATACAATATTCTTCTTGACTCATGTTTTTAAGCATCACAAGATGGATGCGTTTGAGTCAACAAAAAGAGGACCCATGTGCAGTCAATCAGGCAGACAGGAACCCTTGCGATTTATATTCAGGCTTTTAAAAGTAAAATACTGATACAAAGGCTTCAGGAACAGATAAAAGGTGCAGGCACAGACTCCAGTTCAGGAAAAGGAGGCTTGAAAGCAAAAAACGCAAAGCAACATTGACAATCTGACATTATGACTTAGGAAAAAGAAGCTGGTATTTATCCTGACAGGGTCAGTGAGGAATGTGATACCAGTCAGGTAACAGAGACAGGTGTAAAAGTCAGAGGGTGCCTGGTGGATGGATGCAGGATGGCGTTGGAAGGTGGGACGCTGAAGGCAGACAGGATGAGGAAAACAGGAATGGGACAGGGGATGTCAATTGTATTCTTTTTTTACTTTGATTATTTGTTAACTTTCTTTATTCACATGATGTATAATGTAAAACATAATGCTCTATGTGTACTTACAAGTCCTTAGTAGATGTTTAAGTTTTATTTTAAAATGTCACATGTACAACATTATCCACCCCTCCAATGAGAAAGACATGATCTTATAGGTATTATTTAAAAAGTTGACAACTCACCTTGGATGAGGTGTTTTATACTTATTTTGTGTCTTAATAATTTGACACTTTCCCAAATGTTCCTCTCCCATGATGCACAGGATTTTAGAGTGTATATGGCTCATTGCATATGTGTGCATCTAAATGCACACTTACGGTAAGAGTCATGGGACCTAAACGTAAAGAATGTCCTCCTTTTTTTTTTAAGAAAGCTTCTCGGTAAGCAGTCTGTTTGTTTTGAGCGGAACAAAATCATCAATACTAAGAGGCTTTGTTTTGTGCCACAGAAAGCTGTGTGTATCATTTGCCAAAATAGCAAGGAGCAAGGTACAGGATTTTGAGAGGATTTAGCTTTATCCATTTCAGTGTAGGTTATCCAGAAAATAACAAAGTGCTGTTGTGTTAAACGTCTTGAAAACACAACTCAAAACCTCTGTGCGCTCGACAGACAGACAGACAGACAGACAGACAGACAGACAGACAGACAGTTTGTAAGTGCTCATGGAGTAGACTTGGCCGTTAAGAAACTAATCTATCTTAATGAATGTGCCTTTCCCCGGGCTCTTTGTCGCACTAACACAGCGTGCTGCCTGGGCGGTGAATGCCCCGGCTTTGTGACATTTTGATAGGACAACAGTAAACCCTGATGGCTCGTCTGACTGGTTACTCTGGGTGAAATATGCCTGTGGGATGTAGAAGTGCTCAGGATGCCAGAGGAAGGAGAGCAGAGGGCGGAGACAGTCCAAGAAGTGTGAATTCAGGAATGGTGCAGGGCGATCAGCCAGTTCAGATACTGATTACTGATGAGGATTATGACTCAACTGATTGATTCAATTCCCTGTGAGTCAAATTCCACATTGTTAGGCCCTGCTTTTTATAACTACCCTTCACATGTTTTAAACCCTGGCCCTAAGTGTTCCTGAATCTTAAAAACCCACAGAATGAATGTCAGCCAAATTGTACTTGAACTTCAATTTTTACTTCATTTTTAGATTAGGTTCTTTTATTCTTTTTCCTTTATTAGATAGGACCGCTGAAGAGAGTAGGGATGCAAGCACCAAATAATCACAGGCCAGGAGTCGAATCAGCGACCATGGGGTGATGACTTTTCCTCTGTTCATGAGGCACTGCTGCTCTGCCGACTGAGCTAAATCAGCAACTCCTTACATGAGCTTTAGCTCTCTATGTTGGCAGGAAACATAACTCAAGACACACAGCATGTATTTACTACACTTCACAGGATATCTCTGTGAGACATCTTTGTCCATCTCACCCAGGGGTCTGAAGTGTTTTCAGCATCACTTTGATCCAAATCTTTCCATGTCGACTCCCTAAATCCTGCTCCAAGTGATAAATAAAGCTGGCTCATAAATATGCCAAAGGCCACATTCTGACTCTGAATAGTAAAGTTGTGTCGTTTAAGCTTCCAGTGTGCTTTCTAAATGTACAGTACAATGCAGGATGACAGCTCTGTTTCTCATATTCTAATTTTAGTCTGTTGTTGGAATTATATCAGTGGATCTTTTCATTGTTTAAATAGAAAACTCTTTCCCTTTATAGATAATTTATTTTTTGAGTTGAAGTGGAAGTCTCTATTTAACTTGACTGAAAATAAATTTCTTGCAGTTAGGAAACAATGAAGTGAACAGGTTACAGCCCAAATGTTTCAGCCTTATTTTCCTGCAGTCCATCAAATATTTCTAAACATGACTTTCCTTAAACTGCCAAAGTTGATCTTCCTACTCCAAGTGTTGCTGGAGCTTTTTGACCTCTTCATGCACCTTGATAGTTGGTGAAGTTGGGCCAGAAAATCAAATTCTGCTTCTTTAAAACAAACACCTGAAATAAAAACCACAATGCGCTTTTAAACTTTGGTCACCAAAAATGTGACAGTAAGTTTTTATTAGCAGAAGACGATGAGTTCAATACTTTCTCCTTTTGAGAACAAAACATAGATTCCAGTGCTCGGCATTGCCCTTTGTCAGAACGACACTCACAGCACACAGGGAATGTTTCACCCTCGTACAGCAGGAAAAAGGTTTGCATTTGTAGACACAAAACTCAAGCTCAAAGTGAGAAACAGAATTTCATCAGATCTGAAATAAAGCAGGAGCCAAAGTTAAGATGCACATTCTTATTGTCAATTCTAGTTCATTTCAAATGACCCTGAGCAATTGTCTGTGTAAACATTTCTACATTCGCTCCAAACTGATAGAATAGAGAAAAGGAAAGTCTGTGCGTCCTCCTCCACAAAATGACATATTTTCTATTCTCACTAAATATGAACAAGGGAGTCCATTCCTTTTTCAGGCATGCTGGTGTTCTTGTTTAAATGTTGTATTTTACTGTGCGAATACAAGGAATAAACATGACACCAAATAATCAGTTACTCATCAGAGGTTCCACATTGCTTTATCTTTTCAAGCTTTTAATGTTTTGCAGTCGGCTGTAATAGAAATAAACTTCATCCAGTATGGTTATGTTGTATACAACGAGTGCATTCGGATGCTTCAGGAGTAGATATGTACTGCATAAAAAGAGGAGATATCAACGTGCTAAGGAAAAGACAGAGCGCAGCAGAGATCAGTCTGAGCTCGACTCTGGATCAGTCTGCACCATTCAGTCCTCTTCTGGGTGATGTAGGCCGGAGTGATGATCTGCACAGGAAGGCGTGGTGAGCCCTCCACTCTAACCTTCTCACATAAGGCCTCGGCGATACAGATAACATACATCCCACAGTCATAACTGTTCTTCTGCGACGGGCAGGGCTCCTCCACAAACTCAGCTTTTCTCCCTGCACCCAGAAAAGGCTCGAGCTGGCTCGCGATACGCCGTGCGTGCAGAGAATTGCTGCCGTTTTGAGAGTCATAATGGGAAAAGTGGTTGGACTTGTGATGATAGACCAAGAGGCTCCAGTGGGACCCTCCAGCAGTCTGATTAGAGTTGTCGTTAACAGCGAGAAAGACCCAGTGGCGAGCAGCGAGATCCAGTGGCTCCAGAAAAAGGGCTAACTCATCGGAGCAGGATGCACACTTGATGAACTGGGTGACCTCTGGGCTGATGAAGGTGATGGTGTCTCCCAGGACTCCGAAGCGTTCAGCAGCGAAATATTCAAAAGCAAAACCAATGACTTGGTCATTGAGCCAATAAGGTCCCTCGAGTAAGGACACATCAGAGCGCCGCAACAGGCTGTCCTTGAAGCTCAAGACGACAGGATCCATCCTCCAACACGGTAGATGTCAGTCTGAAAAACACAGGAAGGATTTAGTGATACTAAGCCACTAAAATCTTCTTTATATTCCAGGTATGTCAATCAATCAATCATTGCTTGTATAGCGCCTATAGACGCTTTACAAAAGAGCATATGGGATAACATGCAGGAAGGATTTCTCCTTTGTGTGCACATAAAAAGAATATGACTCTGGTCAACTTTGCGTTCTATGAACAACTATTAAAGAATTAAACGTTAAACTAAAACTAATATATGGTTTCGGACAAGTGATCCCAAAAAAAATTAGGCTATAAAAATATATATATTTACCCTAAAAATAATACCAAACAACTAATTGAATAGACATCAATTAATCTATGGATCAAGAAAACGATCAGCAGAATTATGGATAACGAAAAACATGATTAGTTTCAACTCTACTGTGATTAATAATATATAATTAATCAATGACAAGATCATAAGCAAAAGACTCATCTAGGAATGACGGTGTACAGTGGAGATGGTCAGACAAAGCGAGCTGTTTGAAAGGGAATTTCTTTGTTCATAACACAGAGCGTATACACTAAAGCAGGGGTGGGCAACTGGCGGCCCGGGGGCCACATGCGGCCCTCGTCAACCCTCAACGTGGCCCTCAGGTCAATTTTTATACATCAAAACATGAAGAAAACGTGACAAAATCTGCCAAGAAATCATGAAAACCAGAAACATTTCCATAATAATATTTGATCACTGGTTTATGTCGAGTTAAATTTGAGACATAATTGACTGTTATCGTTTTTGTATACTACAATTTGGCCCTCTGGCAGTGAGAATTAAATGAATGTGGCCCCTTGCTGTGACCAAAGTTGCCCCTCCCTGCACTAAACCATTACCTGAAAACAATACAGTTTTAATTTAGAATATTTAATAACTTGGGATTGTTCTCAACCATTGAAATCTTCAGTGATATTATCTGAAGTTCCTAAATGTCACCCAAATGAAAAGGATGAAAAGACTGAGTGCTGCTCATAGAAATGTTCTGATGACATCTTCTGTGGAGGAGCACGATATGAAATATAAAATGTTAAATGATGCAGGGACAGATACAATGATAGTTTTCATCTTGACTATGTAAGGGTTTTTTTTTAGATGTCTTTTCGTTATAAGAGACAATGTTGAGGCTCCAAAGTGCTGATGTCCTGTGAAGTCACTGCGGAGTGTCACATTTACTGCACTGCGTTTCCCCACAGCTGACAAACTGTCTTTAGCTTTAGCATGAGATAGCTCTACCCACTACTTTTTACCCACTAAGCTACACAACTCAGCTTGACAGTCATTTTGGTCCTCAAAAAAACACATCAGATTTAGCGCCGAACTAAAATGCATGGTGTAGATTCAATGTCCATACCTGTAACAGACACATTCAAGTAGAAAGTAACACGAAACCCCGCAGCCTTGTCCCTCATCGCGATGACTAACGTAAACCGTTGGAGGGAGACGTTAACTGCATTGCGACAGAGTGCGTGCGGCGTTACGTTTCAGAAAAGGGTTGCCGATCTGTTTCATTACGTACTGTGATGGAGAAAGTTATCTGCGCTTTGCGTTTAACCGGTCTTTACGAGGAAAACAAACACGTATACATTTATCAACACAGCTCAAGCTTTGACAAACTCATATGTACTAAAAATGAGTGGCTGAAATGTGTTTAAATAAACTTCTAAAAAGTACGAGGTGTGACGCGTGTGCATCGCTACCGTGCTATTTCATGCCTACTTCCTGCTTTGTCGCTCAATCCGTGGATGCAGCGCTCTGTTCATGTACTCCTCGGATTCTCGGAATTCCGAGTTTTGAAGGTCGCTCTATCAACGACGTAGCATATATTTGAACTATATGTCGTAATGTAATAAATTGATATGGTGTGTTTTATAGATGAAAACGTACATGTGTTATGATATGATGTAATACCTTACATTTAATGTGTTAGTAAAGTAAATATTAAATAAATTAAAAAATTAAATAAGCAAAACGTAATTTACAATTTAAATACAGTGCTTCATTTCGTCCGTCATTTTCAGAGTAACATGAAGTCAACTTGGTCAGAAAGTCAGATACATGGTCAGCTATCTTTTATTATTATTATTATTTTTAACAGTTTCCAGATATGCAACTAAATTTTCCGACAATTCCAACCCGACATGAATGCAGCGGTAAACTACTACCAAACTGGATAAGGGCTTCAAAGATGGCGTCCTATCTATTCCTATGAAATTGTTCACGACGCATTAAGGACGCACAGTTAGCCCCGTGAATTCTGTGAAGTGCTCCGATAAAAAACAGCACACTTCGTTTTCACAGTCGCTCCTTTACACTGCTGGGGCGTAGCCTAATGAACCACAGTGTTTCAGTCACTTGTTCGACCACTTCTCAGTGATCTCCGGTGTCCTTCCTGGGGAGGCTTGTCTCCTCCGCCGCTCCTCCTCTGCGTTTAGTCCCCGCCCAGCTAACGCGTGAACGCGCTCTGCTGCGCGTCCCCGAGCGGCCGCACTGATTAGCAGCAAGGCAAAGTAGAGTTTTCAGCGACCGTCAACCGAGCCGCGGAGGAGGACTGCTTTATAACAACACACATCTAAACAGCGAACACGCACGGGATATATAAAAAAAAAATGCGCAAGTTTACGGCTTGGACTTGAATATTAAGGAGTTTTCTGGAGGCGAGCGGCCGGCAGCAGAGGAGGAAACAAATTAAAATCAGTGGGAATGCAGGGAATTAAATAGAGACTTAAAGCGTTTTTGTGTGTGTGTGTGTGTGTGTGGCTACAAGTGTGTGTGTGGCTACAAGTGTGTGTGTGACTCTGCAGTCCCATCGGGAGAGGAGACGACAAAACTTGAATCCTACTTACTTACGTCTGACTTCAGTTTCTCGTCTGAAGGTAAGAGTGTGATGATCAAGAGTTTGATTCTGCTGTGTGGTGTGTGGTGGTGGTGGGCTGCCCGGTGTGTGTGTGTGTGTGTGTGTAGGGTGGGGGGGAAGAAGAAGAAGAAGAGGGTCTTTGAACTGGAAGCAGCCGATGAATTAAGAAACTTTGTTCTTTTAAGCTGCAGTGATTTGTGCAAAGAGGGGTTTCTGTTGCAGTGCTACTTAAGGTGTGTATGGGGCTCAGACAGATGAGTCGTCACAGTCAAAGGTGTGTTTGGTGTTTGTGCTTGCAGTGAGAGAGCATGAAAAAGTTTTGTGTGGCTGCTCAGTGACATGTCATTTCACACTGACTACCACTAACAGACTACCTGCTCCACATCTAAAGCCTCACATGTGACACTGAGGTACCACAGCCACCCCCCCGTGGTCCTGCTTTGATGTATTTATCCGAGGTAACACAGTCTTATACAGGATTTGATGTAGATGCGCAACATTTCTTTTGGGCAGGTCGATGTTGTTAAACACACACACACACACACACAAAAAGAAAAAGCAGGCAGAGCAGACTTATAGGACGATACAGTCATGAAATGTGTCAAAACGACAACAAAACAGGTAACAAACAGAACCATTCAGCTATTTATAATCATTGACACATAAATCTGTTATTTAATATTCATATTCAACCGGGAATAGGAGGAATGCATGTGCTGCTTTTGAGTGTGTGGCTGCAGCAGGGTGGGGTAAATGTTTACATGTATTATTTAGTGCAGGTCAGACAATGCAGCTAATAATGCAGTGAAGGCTGTGACAGAACAGGGAGGTGTAACAGGGTGAAGAAGCTGCTGAATCATAGCTGAACGTCTCAGTGGACACAGAGTCTACTTCAAGCTAACAGCACCAGATCTCACCCCGCTGGTGATGCCTTTAATGTACCTTGAGGAAGCTGGTATTTTGTACTTACTCGCGTGTTTCTGTGGACACTTTGCCTTGCACCACGTTTGTTCTGCTCATTGGGATGGTTTAGGTATACAGGGCGTTGTTGTTCTTGCTGATCATTTATTGTTTTTAGACATTTAATGCATCTTAAACTGGGGATGCTGCAATTGCTCTAACTGAGATTTAGTCAAGTGGCTTCCAGTGGGCTAAGTTAGGCTCTCTAACAATCTTAATCCGCTCCTTTTGTAATTAGAAAAATAACAATTTAAACAAAAAGTATTGAATAAATATTTAAGGATGCACCGACGCATTGGTTTAACATCGCTATGGGCCCTGGCATGAAGTGATGTCAGTAGCCGATGTGTCTTATCAATGTAATGCTGACAGGTTAGTACACTTGACTGCTGATTCAGAGAAGAGGTTAGTCACCTGTTGGACAAACTCTGATCTGTTTTCATGGTTAAACATGAGAAAATGTTGGCAGTGTGGAAGTCTTACACTTCAAGAAATAGTACTTAAAAAAAACATCTATATCAGAATCGACAATCGGCCAAATTGCTATTTCAAACATCGGCATCTGTATCGGCCCTGATCTTCTCAGTCGCTGCGTCTATATTTTTCTTTTAGGAAGGTTTCCTCCAGTTAGAGATGTTACCTCTCACCCTGTTGATGCAGTTATAAAAAGCTAAAGATTATTAGGTTGTCAACAGATTTGATACTGCAGTACTTGTCGATACCACGTGTTTTAAAATGATACAGTCTCACCAATATTTCATATATAAGCGGAAAGCTTTTAAAAAAAAAAAGTACAGATCTTCAGTCAAAACTTTAACCAAAAGCTGCAATGAGTTAAAGAGAGGACACTGTCTAAATTACACAAATACAGACCAATGTATTGGTATAGACACAATGCCAATGTATTCGTGCAATTTAGAAGTTTGCCTGATTTTTATGGTACTTAAAAACAAGATATTGCCTAATATTGGGGTCCAAGGATATCGATTTTTGCTGCTGTTGTATCGATATTGTTTGATTTTTACTCATCATTTTATTAGTCGGCTGTTTAGCCCACACAGTGTTATATCAGTTGTCAAGCACAGAAATAGGCTACATATTTTGTAGCAGGTGTTTTAAGCAGATGGGATTTGGGAGAGTAATACTTAAACAAAAAGATGCTGCACTCGACATTTTGATTCTTAAAAAACAACCTCCTTCTCTTTTAGAGTTAGAAAAGCTGCATAGTTAAAACATGCTTATCTTTAATAATGTCTTACTATTATATGTCTAGCTACTTTGGTACTTTACTTTCCTAAAAGGAAACCCAAGACCCACCACGATTTCTTGGGCTAATAGTGCTCAAAGCTTCTCACCGTCATGCTTTTCTTGGCCAAAGTTTTTCTCTTCTCTAAGAATAAAATCATTTGCAATCAGCGTCTGCAAAACCTTAAAGAGAATGACTTTAATTCAAGTAGCTGTGAGGGTTCCCCTGAGAGCTCGTCCCTCCCTCAGATCAGCACAGGTGATGAGAGTAAAGTGGGCCAGTCCTGCAGGAATGTGAGCTCTGAGAAGACACAGCTGCTGCAGCCTGAGAGGAGGCCTGGGCCGAGACTCCGGCAACTGGTCCCTGTTGACATCTGACACCCCGCAGGCCCCCGCCGTCTGCTATTTCTAAAAAGATCGCCCTCAGTTTGTACCACACCGGAGCCATGTCTGTACTGACGCGATATCACCGGCACCACCTGACGACTGAAGCTGTGGTTTGAGGTTAAAGGCTCAGTGTTCGAAGCTTTGCAGGAGCTAAACGGGATTTTCTTCTGTGAACCTTTTGCAGAAGGAATAATCTGCCCCTTTAAAGATATACAGTACGTCTGGGCTTTTTGCCTTTTTTTTTGATTGGGACAGTGGATAAGGTGAGGGATCTGGGAGAGAGAGCATTTGGTATGACATGCAAGATAGCAGCCACATGCTGGACTTGAATCCGGGCCGCTTGCTTGGAGGACTAAAGCCTCCGTACATGGGGCACTTTCTAACTGCTAGGCCCCTCTGCGCCCCTCATTGGGAGAACATTAATAAATATCTTTTAACCTGATAAGATTAGTTTGAAGGCCTTTAAAATCACAATTCCTCTCGTAATTCGTAGCACTTATTCCAAAGTTTCAGTCGTTTCATTTTCACAATTGCATCATGTGGATCCAGTCAGAGTTCTCTCAGTGGAACAGTGACAAACTTCAGGTTTGGTCTCCTTGTAGTACATCATGTCCTGTAGGCACGGGGTGTGACCTAACGTCTGGCCAGTCTCGTCCTTTGTGTCCAAATTCATTCATACATTTATTGTCTGTCATGTTGCAACGACCTCCAGTAGCTGAACTTCCTGTTAATGAGTCACTTATAATTAAAATGTCACAATCCCCAAGAAAAAAAAAAATGTTTTGCAACCTGTCGCTCATTGCTGTGGATCTGTCATCCTGGAAAACTATGTGCATAAAAATAACCTTTACACAGTCAACTGAATCCAGTCGTGAGCTTCGAACCACCTCTGTGTGAGTGCAGCTCTTTTGAGATGAAGACCAGCTGAGGCATCAGGATGAGACAGCAGCTACCACTCTGCACTATTTAGTCCTCCTGTCATAAAATATGTATATCAGCAGGCATTAAAATAACTCTGTCCTTCTATATCACCTCTGTGAAATACAGGGTGTCTGGGATTTGATGTAATTGATGTAATTGATTTCTATTCAATTTGTTTTGAATTGTCATTTTTGTTATTGATCTCTACGTTGTTTTTGTAATTGATTATAAGCGTTTGATGTTGTTTTGATTGTTTTAATATGCTTGTAATCTCGACAGCCTTAAGGGAAATCTCAGTGTCCATTCTAGAATAAATAGAGGTTACTTTGAATTTAATAGTTGTTCTTTAAAAACAGAAAAGCATTGTTTTTGTTTTTCGTAACAACCTCTCTATGATGTCACTGCACATCGAGATACCCTCCTATAGTCTCAAACATGCAGGTCACAAAAAAGGACTGACTCCATCCTCAGGCCCAGAGGTGTTACCTGCTCAACCAAATCACAGCTTTGGTTATTTATTTATTTTTTAAAAAGGAGTCATGTGCTGCTGCGGCCCACATGATGGGGACGTCCTGGAAAGTGTTGTGTGGCCTCATGACGGGATTGTGTGGCGTAAGTGATTGGCGTCCACATGAAGTCATTAAAGAGGAACCTGCTTGTGTTGCACTGAACAAAGCTCCCCTTTCTTTGGTCAGCCATTATATGAGGGAGGCTTTGGCCTCAGCCTCCCCACGTTCTGCATTTCCCCTCATTAACTCACTGCCACAGTGAGACCGGGAGAAGAAAGTGCAAAGTGTGTTGTTCTTTCTAATGCTGTTTTCATGGAATGAGCCTAAATTGTTTCTTTTTAATGAATCCCTTAAAATGGGGAAAAAGAATCAACAAACATACTGTGATCCAGCGGGGAGTCCAGTTTGTTTCTCCTTTGATTAAATTCAATCCTCTGAGGTTCGCTCTGGATAGAAAAGCGTGTGTGAGACATTTTTGTTGTGGATGACAATTCCCCCCTTTTATAAAGATTAATCTTTGGGCTTTTTATTTCCCTTTTATTTTAGAGATAACACTGATAAGGTCAAAAACGGGAGAGAGAGAGAGTTGGGAACGAAAGGCGGGAAAGGAGCCTCAGGTCGGATTCAAACCCAGGCCGCCCTCTCTCGAGGTCTAACCCTCTGTACATGGGGCGCGCATTAACCTCTAGGCTATCGGCGTTCACAGCCCCTCTGTTTTTTAACCAAAGCTGGAAAGTCAAGTCGTTCTTTTCTCAGAATTTTGTCAATTGATTGAAATTGATGATCAGCTGTAAGCTTTTAACTACATTGTCCCTTTTTATGTCAGCACGGTGCCACAACAAATTATTAATTCCGCCAACACTAGTCTCATCTTTAACCTGTAAGATGAACATAACTTAGGCTTCCATAAGCTCTGGCTTTCTACTCAGCTTTTAGGTGTTTCCACTCAAAAACTTTTCTGAACGTTTCAAGTCAGTCCATATTGTTTTTACTGAAT